CAGTCCTGCAGGCTCTGGCTGTGCACCTGGCTCTGCAGGGTGAGTCCTCCAGTGAGCACTTCCTCGAGCAGCTCCTGGGCCACATGGAGGAGCTGGAAGGGGATGCCCAAGCCGTCCTGGATGCCAGGGAGTGAGTATGGGTTGGAGGCAGGGCTGAGGTGTGTCTGAGCATGCACATGGCAGGGATTGGGGAGCCTTTGGGATGGCTGCAAAGCCAAACCTGCCTTCTTTCATTTCAGACTTTAGGGAAGGGTGAGAAGAAGCCCCTTTGTCTTGGCTGTTTTCAGGGCTCTCGGGATCCCAGAGAACAAAATGACCCACTCACACTGGGGCCCCTCCCACTCCTTGTCAGGGACCTGTGCTGAGTGGGAGCCTGATACACCCCTGCTGGTTCTGAATCCCCTGAAACCTTTCCCTGAACCCACAGGTTGGGTATGGAGGAGCATCCATACTCCAGCCGACTGAAGAAGGTTGGAGAGCTTCTAGACCAGGATTCTGTGACCCGAGAGGAAGTGGTGTCCAAGCTAGGTGCGTGGACCCTGGTGTCAATTGGTTCCCCCACACCTGTCATTCTTTATGGCCAGTGGGGCTCAGGGCCCGGAGGGAGGGGACGTGGAGTTGGGCTGTGTGTGCTTGGAGGGGGCTTCCTGTTATGTTATAACCCTAGGCTGCTGTGACAGCCAGAGCTACTCTCGGTAGTGTCCCTAGCAAGGTTGTGAGCACAGCACTGCCTTGCTCTAGACCTACAGCACCTCCAGTGTCCTGAAGTAGATCTGTGGCCCCAGAAGTGGCAGCTAGTTGCCAGTTTTTACAGCTAATGTGATAATGGATGTTGTTTATCTAGCACCGTCACTGTGTAGTAGGCACAATGCAGAGTGCTTGATAGACAGGACCTCACTTCACTCTCCCAGTAGCCCTATGAGAGGGTGACACCTTTAGTCACTACACTGAGGGGTCAAATCCAAGAGCAGGAATCTTGGTGGTCAGGTAACTTTCCCAGTCACCAGGCAGTTCTTGGAAGGCAGGGTTTTAATCCAGGTTATCTGACCCTAGAGTCTGTGATCTTGATCACAGCCCTCCTTGGAGCTGAGGGTGTTGACTTGTGACAGATGACTAGAAGTCTGGTGGCAGGGGCAAGTCAAGTTCTGTGATCTGGCTTCCTGCAGGGAATGGCATTGCTGCCTTTGAATCTGTGCCCACTGCTATCTACTGCTTCCTTCGCTGCATGGAGCCTGACCCCGAGATCCCCTCTGCTTTCAATAACCTCCAAAGGACTCTCATCTATTCCATCTCACTTGGCGGGGACACAGACACCATTGCCACCATGGCTGGCGCCATTGCTGGTGCTTACTATGGGATGGATCAGGTGCCAGAGAGCTGGCAGCAAAGTTGTGAGGGTTATGAGGAGACCGACGTCCTGGCCCAGAGTCTGCACCGAGTCTTCCAGAAGAGTCTGTAAAGGCCACAGCTGCTGGGGCTCTGCCGTGTCCAGCAGGACCAACTCTAGCTCAGATTGGAAACCAGAGGCCCTTCAGCTGGCTCTCCTGCTTCAGTCTCCCTGCAGTATGGACTGAGTGCACCTTTGGGAGAGGTCACAGGAACAAGAAGCAAGGGACAGATGCTTTCTTGGAAGTCAGGGTTCTGGCTTGCTGCAAGCCATAGGGCACCCCTGGGGTCCTCAGATATGAGGGACCAGGACAGGTTTTATTTTGGAGGGTGTTTTTGGCACTTTCCGTTTTTATCTAGAACATGGGATTTGGGGAGGTGGAAATGATCTGCAATAGCATCATTTCTATCTGTTGAGTTTTAGCCAATTTCAGACATCCTGCCCTTGACTGGGCAGAGCCCCCAAGTAGGTCATTTGGATCAAGGGAGACACCTGCTTCCAGTTGGTCTGTGTCCTGGTGTTTGGCTGTCACGGGGCTTGTTAGCAGCTTCCAGTGGAAGTCATGCAATAAACAGTTTTTAGCAAATCCCAACAGTTTCCTGTGACTCTCTTGGTGACCTGACCTCAAGCCTTGTGCTTCTCTGTTGGCTTTACTCTTCTAAGGAATGCAACCCCAAGGCAACGAGATGCTTGCTATGTTGATAGGCATGATGCCACTTCTTGCAGCTAGCCTCATTGTTAGGAAAGGCAGAGCAGTCATAGTTTGGTGGCTTTTCCTGTTAGGATTTGCTCAGAGTAGCCCTGGCAGATGGGCCGAGTGTTTTGCCAGAGACAGTGGGCAGGAACAAGCCAGATTTTCCTGCTGTCTTGTCCCCAAACCAGACCCAGACTCAGTTGGGCCAGGAATGGGAGCAGAGGGCACCTGTCACCAGACTGCCAAGCTTTTTTGAGTGGAGGGTGCATCATCCCAGGTGACCTATGTGGACTGAGTGCTATATATCTCCTTAGTGCCTGGCCAGTGGCCTTGTCCCACCAGGAAGTTTTGCACAGCATCCATTTTAAAGAAAGGACAATGAAAAGATACTACTCCTAAAACTGTGGGGATGTTCTTTGAGCATCCTTCCAGGCTTGGTGGTGTGCCTCTCCATAGCTGGCTGAGCTCTTGGGACTGTCGTGCTGGTCTGTTTTCAGCCAAAATGGGGTTCTGTCAGGCTGGAGCATACCACAGGACTTCTCAGGGCATGGATTTTTTCAGTTCCCAGAGCCAGAAAGAGATGAACATGCTGCTGCTGAGCCTGGCAGGTTGTGAACAGGTGCTTTCTCCCCAGGACAGAACCCCAGCCCTGTCTTTGGCATTGACCTGGCACAAGCCCCACCTTCAGGAGCAAAGACTCATAATCTTTCATTCATAATTTGTATCAGATGTTGAAACTTGGCCCTTGGGATCCTGAGCCAGTTGTCATGCTCCACTGCCCCTGAGCGTTTGCAGGAATGTTCCAGTGAAGTTCAATCTGTTTCCCTGAGGTTTAGCCACTGCTCTCCTTGGGCATTTTCCTGGTGCAGAGCCTCAGCAGCATAGGATCGATCATCCAGCATTTCTGATGTGACAGAATCTCAGGTTGGGGAGCTGGTGAGGAATGCATACTCCTTGAGGGCCCAGAGAAATCCCTGATGCCTTCCCAGACACCTCTGCACCAATGCCAAGTTCAGCAGAGTGCTGTTTTGTACAATGGGTTTTATTGAGGTTGTGTCAATACAGTCAATACTGTTGTTTTTCTTTTCAAAAAGAAGTCCCATTTTCTTTGATTCCCCAGTGCATTTTTCCCAAATCTGTGACACAGAGCACGTGATAAGTAGAGAACTAAACTTCCTATACCAGGTTAGAAATGAAATTACTAGTTGAAAACATTTAAACCTAATCTTTAAAAAAAAATTAAGAATCAGAATATAAAAATGCACAAGGTAATGTAGTTTTCAGTTAAAACCTGACTTGTTTATCAAAGCAAAGTTAAGTGGACACCTGTATCTCAAATCCCATAAATATTTCAGAAATGTCAGCCACCCTTCCCTAAAGGCTTCAGGAATGAGATTTGGCAGAAGTACAACTCTTGAAACTGCTGTTTGGGTTTTTGTTTTGGTTCCCATGGAACTTGGTTCCCTGGGCTGCCAATTGAAGCTGATCAATTTCTGCCAATCAGATCCCAACATCAAATTATAGTGGCTTTGACCCAGGAAAGGAGGTCGCTCAAAGGACCCTCCCAGGTTTCCTTTGAGACTCTTCTCTTGGGTGTTAGGGAGAAAGAAATCCACCATGAACCCAGTCAAAAACTTTGTTCTTAAAGTCACTTGGGCAAATTTGGGTTTGCATTTCTCCCTTTGAAAGCTAAAGTGAGCAGTCAAGTAGCCTGCAGTGGGAAAGTTGTGAGCAGGGTGGAGATTTGGCCAGAAGCCTAGGGAGCCACAGCTTAGCAGTCAGCAGTCATCCTCCACCTTTGACACACACATCCTGGAGTGGTCATATCAGAATACAGCAAGATGGTTTGTCGAATGACCTAGGTTTACACTTGGTACAGGGAAAAGAATTGGCTTGGTGAGGGCTGAGAGGCCTTGGACCATGGTAAAAGTGACAATCCTTACATAAGCAAGAATGTCCACCATCCCTGCCCCAGTACTAAACTACTCAGCTTGAACTGGGGCTCAGGAGTTGGGAGGGGGAGCCTATTTCCTGCAGAGGTGCTGGGGAGAATGGCACAAACACCCAGAGCCAGCTCATTCCACAGGGACCTGTTGGCACCCTTTCTTTCAGAACCTTGGCCTCCTGGGCCCTAATCCTGCTTAGAGCAGGAAATTGAAACCGGAGGGTAGAAGGGAGGAAGCCCCACATATTAACCCCTCTGATAGGCACACAAACCCACCATGTGGTTCTCATTAAGGAAAAGCAAGTGGGAGCCTTCTTCATCTCCAAGTTTGTGTGCCTCTAGCTCAGAAGGCCAAACGAAAGGTCTTTGCCTTGGGGACACTTGGTTTGAGGGTGGCAAGGATCCCCTCACAATTTGTTACAGAAAACCAGCTCAGGTAAAAGGAGAGTAGGAGTGTTCATGTTTGCCATCAGTCCTGCCAGAGTTTGGTCTGCTGCGGCAGACCCTAGGAGCCTGTTCACTGCCCTCATGCTAACCAGGGCAGAGCCGGTGAGGGCAGCTGGGTAGATGGAGATGAGTGTAAAGAGCAGGCATCCTGCCCCAGGCCCATGCCCCCACCCCACACAGACCATCTTTCCCCATATGCAGTTGGAGCAGGGAATGTCCCTGCCATGGGCAGGCCTGATGCCACAGCATCACTCTGGGGTTGTATTCTTGGCCGAGTATCCACACTGACCTCCTTGATGGTCCCTGTCTTCTCCCTTTCTCCTAAAGGGAAACAAAAACTTCAGAAAATCCACTGTCATATGCTGGAGGTCCTTGGGGAGCTGGAAGAGCCCCCAACCAAGGACTGGAAGGGAGCCCATGCTCCATTCCTTGAGCAGGTGTCATCAGTGGCCAGCAGGAAGGACTGGCTGTCTCCTCTGGTAGATGGCCAGGGAGTCAGCCCCTTCTCTGCTCCTTAGGGGCCCAGCAGCATGCAGAACTCATGGGGGCTGGGCTGAGTGTCCTGGGTCCACCTGCAGACCAGGCAGGACAGGAACAGGGTGACCCCAACCCTGCACAGATGGCTGGGGTAAAGACTCAGGCCAACCGCTTCCAGAAACAATATCAGCCAGCATACTGTAGGGGAAAGCAAATCAAGTCTCCTGGGCCACGGTTACCTCTGCCTCTGTTCAGCCTTTGGTTCGTTCTTTAAATGGAGGTCTTTGTAACTGAAAAGGTCACTCTACCACTAAAGAGGAGGCGGCCAGGGCAGCAGGGCCCCACTGTGGGTTATGTGGGGCAGAGCAAGAATCCTGAAAAGGACGAGTGGATGTACTCGGTGGAGTAGAGGCCATTGGCCTGGTCCGAGGGCATCTGCACCCAGACCTGGTCATTGGGCCGCAGCTGGAGCACGGCCCCGCCAGATGCCTGGTCCAAGTAGCCCTTCTTGTATTCATCATAAGTGTAGGTGGCTGGCACATTGTTCTTGTACAGGGCCACCCACACATTGGTGCCCTTGACATGCACATGGTAAGCAAAGTAGTAGACGCCGCCCACAGGACAGGTGAAGATGCCCGTGGCTGGGTTGTAGCCGCTGTGGCCATTGTAGAGAGTCCGGTCAAATTTCACAGGCATGCCCGAGGCAGGAAAGGGCGAGGTGAGCACGGCAGTGAAGGCTGGCGTGGCCTGGGCCGACAGCTCCCCCAGCCCAAACCGAGGCTTGCCGCCTTTGCCCAGCACAGCACCCTCCACACCACCATTGGGCAGGTGCAAGCCTGCGATGCCAGTCTCATCGAAGGTCCCAGGGGCACCAGGGGGCCCTGGAGGCCCTGGTGGCCCAGGAGGGCCTGTGAGTCCTGGGGAGCCAGGAACTCCAGGGGGTCCTGTGGGCCCAGCAGAGCCAGGTTCCCCTACTTTCCCCTCTCCAGGGGGCCCTGGCAGGCCTGGTTCACCCTTTAGGCCTGGCAGACCCTGGGGCCCAATAGGGCCAGCTGGGCCCTGGAGACCTGGGATTCCTGAGGGGCCCCTCAGACCAGGCTGCCCAGGGAGGCCCAAGTCACCCTTCTGCCCTAGGGCTCCTGCCACCCCTGGTCCTCCAGGGCGACCCGTGAAACCTGGCTCACCCTTGGGCCCAGTTGGTCCAGGGGGGCCGTGAGTCCCAGGAAGTCCCCTCTCACCTGGGAGCCCAGGTTTCCCAGCCAGACCACTAGGTCCTTGATCACCCCGAATGCCAGGCACCCCTGGGGGTCCTATGGGTCCTGTCTCCCCCTTAGGTCCAGGGGGCCCACGTCTACCAGGGAGCCCTGCAGACCCAGGAAGTCCAGGGGGGCCCCCAAGGCCCTGTGGTCCCTGCTCTCCTGGCTCCCCATCTTCCCCTGGCTCACCCCTGTCCCCCAAGAGTCCTGGGACCCCAGCTGGGCCCCTATCCCCCTTGGGGCCTGGCAGTCCTGGCATCCCATAGCCAGTGGGGCCTATCAGGCCGGGGGGACCCCGGGTCCCTGGTTCCCCTTTGGCCCCTGCTGGGCCTTGTGGCCCTGGCACCCCTGCTACCCCTGGCACCCCCACACCATCTATCCCAGGGGGTCCTTTTGGACCTATAGCTCCTGGCTCCCCCCTAGGGCCTGGAATCCCAGGAGGCCCAGACTCACCCTTGTCTCCAGGGGCCCCAGGCAGCCCATCCAAACCAGGTTTGCCTAAGCCAGCTGGACCAGGGAGGCCAGGGGGTCCAGGGGCACCTCCCTGCCCAGGGGCTCCAGGCAGCCCTGGCTGGCCCACTCCATTATCCCCCTTGAGGCCTCGCTCTCCTGGGGGTCCAGGCTCTCCCTGGGGCCCTGGCTCCCCCTGGAATCCTGGGGGGCCTGGTACTCCCTGAGCACCTGGTTTTCCAGGGACAGTAATGCCTGAGGGACCAGGGAGGCCAGGGGGCCCTGGTGGCCCCCGGAGGCCCTGGTCCCCTCGTATCCCTGGCTCCCCCCGAAGTCCTGGCTGTCCGGGTGGTCCAATCTTGCCTGGGAGCCCTGGGGGACCAGCCTTGCCCATCCGAGAGAAGCCAGGGGGGCCAGCAGGGCCAGGCTGCCCATGGAGCCCTGGCTTTCCAGTGCCTGGTTTTCCTGGGAAGCCAGGAGGACCAGGGGGGCCCCGAGGCCCAGGCTTTCCAGGAGGGCCTGGCTCTCCTTTCAGGTCCATTGGCAGCAGCGGTAGAGGCATTTCTGAAGGAGACAAAAAGAGATAAGGGACAATGAGGACCTGGACAGCAGAGATGGAGGACCCCATCTACCCATTCTTCCATGGCACTATGAAGTACCCTGGGCAGGAACGAAGCTCTCTATCTGCTCATGAGGACCCCTCCCTGGACTATCCTTCTCTGCTCTCATGGAAGACAGAACTCAGGTGTTGTCCAGTGGCCATCTTGGTGGCTTCAGGTTGTTTTCCCCCAGGGGTCCCAATACCCCGCCTTCCCCATGAGCTTAGAAGACTCTCATTCCTGCATGACCTGGTAGCAGAATGGCCACTAGGTGGCACCAGCAGCTCAACTTAGAACCAGTTAGAACCGAACCCACAAACCCGGCACTCTCATGTATACCTTCTGACCCATCCCATCTGAAGACCACCGGCACTGGGCCAGCTACAGCCCGCTTCCAGGCCCTCCCAGGCTGACAGGCCTTGGGCCAGCCTCAGAAAGGAAAGCAGAGATGGGGAAATCTGTGGCAGGGACTGAAGGGCTTCAAGGGTCTGGGGAGGTCAAGGAGCTCGCAGGGAGAGTCAGGAGCTCTTTGAGACACTGAGGGGCAGGAGGTCTCACCCAGGAACTGGCCTTTGCCCTCTCGGAAGGGTGGTCCCACAGGTCCTTTCTGCATGGGCTGCACGTACTTCACAGGAGCGTAGCCTGCTGCCCCACCAGCCCCGCCGCCAGAGGTAGCCCGTGGCCCACACCCCAACAGCAGCAGCAACAGCAGCAGCAAGGAAGGTAGAGGTGTCAGAGCCCCCCGCATGGCGTCCGTGGGCGTGCTGCAGGGAGAAACGGGCGCCATCAAGCCAGCCCCTGGGTGGTTGGGCACCAGCCCCAGGGGCTCACAGAAAGATCTGAATTTATTTATTTATGGTACCAGGGATTGAATCCAGGGGCACTTGACCACTGAGCCACATCGCCAGTCCATTTCTGTATATTTTAGAGACAGGGTTTCACTGAGTTGTTTAGGGCCTCGCTAAATTGCTGAGGCTGGCTTTGAACTCTCGATCCTCCTGCCTTATTCTCCTGAGCTGCTGTGATTATAGGCGTGCCCCACCTTGCCCAGCTCAATAAAATTTCTCATTACTTTTTTTCTTTTTGGTGGGTAACAGGAGTTGAACCCAGGGGCACTTTACTACTGAGCTACATCCCCAGCTCTTTTTATTTATTTTGAGATAGTGTCTCCCTAAGTTGCCCAGATTGGCCTTAAACTTGGAATCCTCCTGCCTTAATCTCCTGAGATGCTGGGATTATAGGTATGCAACCCTGCACCCAGCAAAAGACCCAAATTTAGATATTATTCATAAGTGACTCCCAAATTGACAGGGGTCTGAAGGACCCCTGTCAATTTGGGAGTCACTTATGAATAATATCTTCCAAGCCTGCTGTAGTTCTCCATCCCAACTACCCAGACTCACCCAGCCTCCATAAGAACACGGCCTCCCCCAGACCACTCACTCTCGGCACCCAGATGTGCCTTCTAGAACTCCAATCTGACTTTGGCAAGTCCTCTGCTGAAAAACCTTTGATGATAACCCCCACTACTATTTGCTGGGCCAGGCACTGGATTGAGACCTTCCAAGATCTGAACACATTTAAATCCCACAAAACTTATAAAAACCCTCACCCCCATTTTCTAGAGGATAAAACTAAACTAAAGGGGTCTGGGGTTGTGGCTCAGCGGTAGGCGCTCACCTAGCACGTGCAAGACACTGGGTTCAATCCTCTGCACCCCATATAAATAAATAAATAAATAGATAGACAGATAGATAAACAAATAAATGTGTTGTATCCAACTACAATTAAAAAAAAAAAAAAAAGTAAAGGTCTCCAGAAAGCAGAGCTGCGATTTGGCAGGTCCACCCAACTCCACGTTCTGTTGATGACCTTCTGAGCTCCCTGAGTTCCCCCTGGCTTCAGGGTAAGTCTGAAGTGCTTATTAGTGCTTAGCACACAGGCCTTAGCATTTTTTGTTTGTTTGTTTGTTTGTTTTGGTCCATCAAAACATTTTATTTGTATGAATTGTGAATTTTACATCCCTAGGAAAAGAGTCCCAGGATTTTGCCTCCTGTGTGTATTAGTCTTGCAGCTGAGGTTCAATACAATGAAACTAAACTGGAGGGACAAGAACTGATTATTCTGCCATTTTTCTAGGTCTTTGAGCTGCACATCAAATCAGGGGCTCACTCCACACTTGCTTAACTACTGCCTGTGAAGTTCAAAATTTTCCCAGCTCTGTAATCCTCAATGACTTCAGACTCACCAATGTAATCATGCCTCATCATCAAAGGTAGAAACGGACAAATGACTCTGGAACACAGTCTAGTAAGAACCTAGCTTTTGCCTCTTCTCAACATTGTTGAAGTTCTAGAGAGTTTCAGCCAGAACATTCACGAGTACCACTGTGAGGACTCAGAAAAATGCCTTTTTAATCTGTTCTGTGCCTGTATTTCTTTCTTTTTTTAAAATATTTTTTAGTTGTTGATAGACCTTTATTTTTATTTATTTTTTAAGTGGTGCTGAGGATCGAACCCAATGCCTCACACATGCCAGGCAAGTGCGCTACCACTGAGTCCCAGCCCCAGCCCCCTGTGCCTGTATTTCCAACCCCATGACCTACTTTTCTCCCCACCTCCACCCCAGTAACCCAGAATTTACAGTTCCCAGATCCCAGGGAGCCTCACACTCCTGGGCCTTTGCACCTGCCCTTCCTCTGCGTGCAATGTTAAGTTCATCTCCTACTCATCGTTCAAAGCCCAGGGAGGCTGTCACCTCCCTCTGTAACACTTCCCAACAGTTCACCCCCACCCCTTTGTGTCCCACCTATCCCTATTACAGCAGTTAGCCGAGCTAAGAGAACAAGGGCTGTGTGGGGAGAGGGACAGGCTCTGGGGTCAGCAGCCAGCCTGAGTCTTCTACTTACCCAGAAGTAGGGGAGTCTGAGCAAGTGGCTCCCTTATCACACACAAAATTTATATGTGAAGCATGCCAGTGTTCTGCACAATAATCCAAAGTAGAGACTACCCAAGCATCCATCAAGTGAAGAATGGACAGGAAAATGTGCTAGGTCCATATGATGGACGGACTGACTGACTTAGAGACACAGTCTCACAGTGTTGCTCAAACTGGCCCTGAACCCTGGGCTCAAGCAGTCCTCTTGAGTAGCTGAGATGGGACTACAGATATATGCCACCATACTGGCTCAAAACAAGTTAACCACCTGCTTCTCAGGGCCACTGTGATAACCTGATGCCTGGTTAGAGATGGTGCCATCTTCCCAATAAAGATTATGTGGCATTTTTCATACCCAAGGAAAGTCCCCCTTCCCTCCTGCTTTGGGTTCCCCTCATCCCACCAGGGACCTCAGTCCCTGTGCTCGGACTGGCAGATTCAAGCTCATTCTCTCAAGGGGCCCGTGAGACTCGTGCAATGGCCACTCCTGTGCCATAGTTCCTGGGTGTAGAGAGGAAGCTTGGGGCTGGGGAGCAGCTCAGTGGAGTAGCAGCCGCCCAGCACACACAAGGCCCTGGCTCGTATCCCCAGCATAAGAAGAGAAGGAAGGAGAGAAATAGAGAAGGAAAGAAAGAAATGGAAGCTTAGATCATAAAAATCTTGCCCAGGACACATGACTTGGATGTGCCAGAGCAGAAGCCTCCTCCAGTTGCCCTCAACACAGGTCATCTGCCTTATCTTTTTTTTTTTTTTGGGGGGGGAGTACCAGGTATTGACTTCAGGGGCACTCAACCACTGAGCCACATCCCCAGCCCTATTTGTATTTTATTTAGAGACAGGGAATCACTGAGGTGCTTAGAACCTCACTGTTGCTGAGGCTGGCTTTGAACCGTGATCCTCCTGTCTCAGCCTCCTGAGCCTCTCGGATTACAGGTGTGCACCACTGTGCCCAGCTCACCTGCCTTATCTTGCTATAACTAATGCCAGGACTAACTGAGGCCACACTGCACAGGCCTGGGAATGCTGATGGAGGGTCCTGCTGGACACTGTGCTAATGTTGGACATTTCACCCTGTGTAAGCCTGTGATGGACGCTATCCTTGTTTTAGATATGAGGAAATGGGGTGAGTGGGTCCCCCATTAACAGCACCACAGGCAGAACCTAAACCCAGGCAGCCTGACTGGAGCCCAGCCCCTCATCACCATGCCACAGCACCTCTCCAGAGTACAGCAGGGCAAGGCCCTCCTGCCTGGGTCACCTGAGCTGAGGGAGTGGCGGGGGTGGGAGCTGCTCACACATGCACAGAGCCAGATTCTGTCTGGCAGGTACATGGAGGACAGAAAAGTAGAGGTGGGGGGCACAGCAAGGAGCAGGAAGCAGAGAGAGAAGAGGGAATAGCTTCTGGCCTGGATAGGCCAGGGCCAAAGTCATGGCACACCACCAGAGGACCCAGGACTGCCCTGGCTCTGGGGAGGTGACGTGATGGAAGGTGCCACCAGAGGGTGTCCAGGCAGGCAGGGTGCCAAAGGAAGAGCCCAAGGCTAGCTGGGAGCAGGCCCCCCAGCACCTTATCTACCTTTCATTCCTCTTTGGTAATGGGGACCCTCCAGGAAGCGTCCCTGAGCCACCCATCCCTCACAGCACCTTCCACAAACTATGTGTATCTGTGTGCGTATGAGAGAGAAAGGGATCACGTGCACACACCCGCCTCACTGAGATCAGGGACTGGGTCTGAAGCCTGCCTCCAGAGCAGGTATTTCAGCAAGTGAGGAGAGAAGTGAGGGTGACAACTGAGACAGAGGTACCAGGCACAGCCCAGATGTTTAGCAAACAGATGATTCAGTTCCCCCAGCATCAGGGGAAGAGGTGCTCCCATGTGACTCCATCCTACAGACCGGGAGACTGAGGCTCCGAGAAGATCAGTGATGTTAGCGTGCAGTTAGGGCAGGGAGCTGGAAATGGGGCAGAGGTCTGTGGGGGACCAGGGCTCTTGGTCATTAGGACCTGCTGCCCTGGGGAGGGGGGGCGAAGAGAGAGAGTACCAGAGAGCTGAAGCTGCAGGGGTACTGGCCAGCGGAAAGGAGAGGCTCTCCCAGCCCCAGAGGTGCCGTGGGTGGGGAGGGGGACACTGCAACCCTCAGAGGGGAGGGGGCGTATGCACAGGTTTGGGGGGTGGAAATGAGCCCACAGCAGTGAGAAGGGTGTGCCGAGCCCATCCTGGCAGCTGCAGAAAGAAATGATGCTCTTGGAATTGCACAACAACAGGGTAGTCACAGTGGGACAGGTCACCCTGCCAGTCACCATGAGGCCCATGCCCACCAGCCTCCTGTCCAGTCACTCCCTCCCCACCATACTCTGGCCTCTGCGGGTTCTGTGCCCCGACCATTCTGTGCCCCGACCACTCTCCCCCTCGGGGACCTGCACTTACTCTTGCGCACTGCGGAAGCACATCCCATGCCTCCCTCTGCCCTGCTGCCTGGGAAAGCCTATCATAACTTTGTCCCCTGGAGCTCTCCTACTCTCCCTGTCCCCATGCTCCCCCAACTCCATGCCTGGCTCTGGGCCTGGATGGCACATGGCAATGCTCCAAAGTGTTTGACAAACTCAATTCACCATGAAGTTTAAAGAGCACACTAATAACTCACTCTATCCCTTCCTGGGACTCACAGACACATGTCACATATGCCTCCAAGCCAGAGGAGTCATCTGGGCTAGAATGGGAAAAGGTGAGGACATTATATTCCCTCAATCAACCAACTTCACTAAGAACAACCTGCTCTGTAATACAGAAGCAAAAGGTAGAACAACTGGA